TTTAATTAAGTTATTGTTAATTATCTATTGGTTTAATGGAAGTGACTATTGTTCGGGACGAACAATTCTAAGGAAAGGGTAGTGTTACGACAGCGGAAGTCACGCGATGCTAGGAGCATGTGCGCTGGAGTTTCTAGAAGGATCATGAAGGCCCAAATTCATTCGAGACGCCCTCTTTTTAATATGTAAGTCTGGCGAGAAAAACCAGCGCGATCGGCAGATAGATATAGATAATTGAGTGAAGCGTGCAGTAGGCATCGTAAGTAAAGTGTGTGAATCACTGTCATTTATACCGTATGTTATTAAGGTTGTTAAGTTTAAAGTGACTGTGGAAATTCTGTGTATTACAAAGTTGTATCGAGAAAGAATAAACTAGTTTTAATTAAGAAAGGACTTATATCTCCGAAGTTACTCAGAAAGAATTTTTACAGGAAATTATTAAACAAGCAGATACGCAACACTATTAAGGGACATGGAACTTCCGTTATAAAATAAACAGTGTACGTGTTTTTCTCTCACACACAAACGCTGCACTGAAGAGAACACTTGAAAGTGTCAAAAACTGTATCCATATAAACTTGATATTGTTTCTTTGTTGTGGATTTAAACTTTATTTATTTATTGTATATTTACATATTTTTAAAGCAGGCGTGAATTTTATTGATTTCCAAACAGAAACTAAATGGCGTCAAGTGTTCAAAACTTTATTGAATCATTTGTGAAGGTAGCTGACATACGAGAAAAGAAAAATGTATCTTTTTTTTTTCAAAGGCATGATACATATACGGAGGAATATTTTTCATAGGAAAACTAACATGTTTTGGAAGAGACATCCCATACATGTTGAAAGGTTATTCAGCAGAAGAAGCAATTTTCGTAGAGAATGAACCAGAGAGTTTAGCAAGTCGTCAAGGTTACCATTTGCGAGTCAGGAACCAATGTATGATATACTTGGGACGAAGTTTCTGAAGATGATAAAAAAATGTTGAGAAACATAATGTGATCTTGAGGGAGACTAAGTGGCTTTATTTTGAAGGCAAGATGAAGGTTATGGCGTTCTAACATCATACGTCTCTCGTAAAAATTTAAATAATAATAAGAGGCAGATATCTATGAAGTATGATTATAGGTAATTGAACGACAAACGAAGGCCTTATAAAAATAGAGAAAAAACTGATTCAAACCCGACGTGGGTTTCAGTGAAACATTGTGGAAGTTGAGTCATTATGTGGCCTTGAAGTTGACTATTGATAGGTTAGCTTTCCATGTCAGGTGCTTATCGAAGGTGACATCCAAATATTTAACTGTACACAGTTATATGGGAATATTTTATATTTGGACATGAAATAGATAAGTATTTTATCATAGTAAATGTTTCCTTTCGTTCGTACCATACAAAATAGGTTTGATTTTATGTATATTGAGTATCGACCGCCAGTGTGAACACCACACGAGGAAGTGATTTTGACTGCTGTTTGTAGAACCTTGTTTAAGGTGATCATAGTCTAGCACTATTACCAGTATACTGAAAAATATGAACAGGACATGGAAGCTGTGATATATCTGAAACAATATTATACTAAGGGATAGCATTCTATTATTCTATTAGCGTATATCATCAACTCGAATTGTTGGTTTTAATGTATAGTCGTTTACTCCCCACTAATAAAATAAAATACTTTCATTGTTTGAATAATATATAACCATTATTCATTATTATTCAGTGGACTAGCTGGTAATGTATTTGTGAATTTGCGAATGGAGTAGGAATCTAATCTAATCTTTGACTCGCTACTCCTTTTGCAGTAGACTAGTTTCGCCGAATTCACGGCTCATCAATACTACTTGAAAGAGCGAAACAGAAAAAAGAACAAAAAACAGAAACCTACAACTTATTTGCATAACACGACAATACATGACCTAATATGTACAGTTCGTTCTTTTCGTCACTGAGATTTCAGCTTTTAGTGAAGAAAATAAAAATTACAAGTTAGTCCGCTGAATAATGATGAATAGTAAATTGTGACGGTATAGCAATATGGTACTCAAACATCTAAAGTATTTTAGGTTATTATTGGTGGGCAAAGGACTATAAAGGACTATCTGTAGTTTTCTTACAGCACTTCCTTAGATAGTAACATTCCATAATTCCATACGATTATTACCCATAATTATCATCTGTAGTTTTCTTACAGCACTTCCTTAGATAGTAACATTCCATAATTCCATACGTTTATTACCCATAATTATCATCTGTAGTTTTCTTACAGCACTTCCTTAGATAGTAACATTCCATAATTCCATACGTTTATTACCCATAATTATCATCTGTAGTTTTCTTACAGCACTTCCTTGGATAATAACATTCCATAAGCCCGTGCCATAATTACTTATACTTGTTCCTTATAGGTCCAAACTTTTACTACCTGCAAAATGCTCCTCATATAATTTGTCACAGCACTTACTTGTATACCATTAGCTGACTTTCACCTTCTACTGTTATTCCCCTTAAGATTCTTCACAGAGTCGCTCGGCCCTGGAATGTAATATTCTATAGACGCACCCGTTTACTGTCTACATGTTTACTGTTTTTTTATTCTTTCGCCAAACATAATACAATGCTGTTTTAAAGTTAAGCGATTCTGTATTTGTTCTATTATTTTCTATACAACGTTTAATAAGAATCAATGTGCTGTATATATATATATATATATATATATTACTGGTAATTCCATTTTAATGTTACCGACGTAGATGTTGCTTTGGCTCATGCAAGAGTAAAATAAAATTACAGCGCGTGTACTTTTATCTCGTGAAAACCTTACTGTTTTCGCATAGTTATTGTGAAAGTATTTCGAGCAGGCCAGTACTGAGTAATGAAAATTCCATTTCAATTATTGCACGTGCTTGTCCTTTCTGTGGGTGCTAAGCAACACGTCTTTATCAACGCGGATTTCTAATTTATCCAATGATTCCCTGCTCACTGTATATCCTTCCCTGCTCTTTTTCCCAGGTCTACCAGCGGCGATTTTTACGGAACTTGGCTTAGTTAGAGCTTACGTGTAATACATGCGCAACTCAGCTCCCACTGCACACTCTCCCGGGCAACTTGCTCGTCTGTTGCTTGCTTGGTATAAAATGGTCTGCTGACTTCTGTTTACTAGAGAAATCTACAGCATTCGTCATAAACATCAGAATAACAGTTGAGTATGCCAGCTGATAGAAGCTTGCCATTTTGATCTTTTGGTCAGGTATGTAAAATTAATGTTTTATTTTGCTACAGAACATGCTTCTAAAAAAAAAAAACGTTCACGTGCTAAATATTTTCTTGTAATACACTTTCTGCTTAGTGCCTTCTGAAATTACTTGCATTCTCAACCATAAGAATTTATGAGTGAAAGTCAAGAATCATATATAACAATATGTCAAACACACTATATCTGCAGTATCCAGTGCCGACGAGGCCTTTCGCCTAACACCAGGGCTCATCAGGCCGGCTGTGACATGATAGACATGAACAACAACTGTTATGGTGTGAACTAGACTAAGCTGGTGAAGTGTAAATAATTTTAAACAATTTTATATGAATTATTTACAACTCAGAATTGGGATAAGGATTAATAACACAATATTATTGATTTAGTATAATATCAGTTATTTATTATTGATATTAACGTAACTTTATATAAAATAATCACACGTACACACTCACATATATATAAATAAAACCAAATCATGAAAAACAGTGCAGCAGAACAATGCGATTAGTGTAACTGGAACTGTTACTCAAAGTTACCGGGTAAATGTTATGTAAGTTGGTAAACTGATAACTGGAACTGTTACTCAAAGTTACCGGGTAAATGTTATGTAAGTTGGTAAACTGATAACTGGAACTGTTACTCAAAGTTACCGGGTAAATGTTATGTAAGTTGGTAAACTGATAACTGGAACTGTTACTCAAAGTTACCGGGTAAGTGTTATGTAAGTTGGTAAACTGATAACTGGAACTACGTTTATGAAATGAATCCCGTATTTTACATTCTATGTTCTGTTTTCCTGTTACCTCGCTTCTTTAACGCTGCTTGAATGAATCCTGTATTCTACACTCTATCTCCTATTTTCCTACTATCTCTCTTCTTTAACACTGCTTAAATGAATCCCATATTTTACATCCTATGTCCTATTTTCCTATTACCTCGCTTCTTTAACACTGCTTAAATGAATCCCGTATTTTACATCCTATGTCCTATTTTCCTATTACCTCGCTTCTTTAACACTGCTTGACCCACGTTTCTTTTGTAATAATAATTTTACTCTATTTGTAGATGTTTTTATTTTCTTGTGTTCTATGAACTCACTATAGTTTGTTTTATTTGTAGTACGTATCAAAGAAATCGGCTTACTTTTTATTATGCTAAATGAAGTTTATGTAATGTGTTTTTATATTTATGAGCCATATTTTAATTTAGAGAAATTATACCTTTTTGTTCTACTGTAATTCAATGTACACTTTTCTTGTACTGTATTAATCCCGTTTTATTATTTGTGTGTTATTTTAACTGATTATTTACCATATACATCTTCTTCCGATATAGTTACATAATGTACCCTATTTTATTAAATATTAAGTGTTATTAAAACGGATCAGTTACTGTAGTCTTCTCCGTCTGATACAGGTATTCAATGTTCCCTGTTTTCCTATTGATGTGCTACTTTAACTGATTACTAACTATATTCTTCTCCGTCTGATACAGGTATTCAGTGTTCCCTGTTTTCCTATTGATGTGCTACTTTAACTGATTATTAACTATATTCTTCTCCGTCTGATACAGGTATTCAATGTTTCCTGTTTTCCTATTGATGTGCTACTTTAACTGATTACTAACTATATTCTTCTGCGTCTGATACAGGTATTCAGTGTTCCTTGTATTTCCTATTTATGTGCTACCTTAACTGATTACTAACTATATTCTTCTCCGTCTGATACAGGTATTCAGTGTTCCTTGATTTCCTATTTATGTGCTACCTTA